TTTATTTTCTGATAATTTTTTCATTTTGAGTTTATTCATTTTTTTTTCTTAAATGTCTTCCGGTAGTTCAAACATCATAAGATTACAAACATCTTTACAATTCTATGATTGTTGAGAATTTGAACTACCGGAAAGAATAAAAGGTTTTATTGAGAAAAAAAAACTAAGTAATTTAATGTTTTGGAGAAAAAAATATAAATATCAAAATTTCTCAAGTAAAAATGACCGAAAATATTAAAAAATATAGTGGAAAATGACTCAAACAAACCATTTAAATTATAGGCTAAGCAGGGGTATTTCCGTCATATTTTGAAAAACATGTAATGTGAGGGGGGGTTTTGTATTTATGTGTAGTATAGGGGGGTATTTGATACAAACTCCATAGTACAAGGGTGTTTTTGTATTTAACCCTTTTCTTTATTTCGATTTAAAAGAAAATTTTGTAATTAGTATTTTTTTTTTCTTATTTTCGGTTTTTTTTTAAATTATTTTTTTTCTTATTTATATTTTTCATGTTTTTTATTTTAATTCAAAAAAATGGTTTTATTTTTATTTTCGTTTTTTCATGGTTTTTCTTTTTTCTTAATTTCAATTTTTTTTAAATGGTTTTTTTTTTTGTTTTCTTTCCAGTTTTTTTAAATAAAAACCACTCTATATAAACATGAAAACCACTCTGTATAAACAACTATATAAACATGAAAACCACTCTGTATAACAACTATATAACATGAAAACCACTCTGTATAACAACTATGTAAACTTGAAAACCACTCTATATAACAACTATGTCAACATAAAAACCACTCTGTATATACAGTTATATAAAAATTTGTATAAAAAGTATTGAAAAACCACTATAAATTTATCAAAGGCAAAGCCTGACATTATGAAAACCACTTCGTATAAACAAATATATAAACATGAAAACCACTTTGTATAAAACAACTATATAAACATGAAAACCACTTTATATGCTCAACTATATAAACATCGAAAATCACTATGAATTATAATAAGAAAATTAACATCAAAAATTTTGCGAAAAAGAAGTTATAAAACCACTATAAAGGACACCATCTTCTCCCCAATGAACCCTAGAGCATAGTTTGTGTAATCATCTTCTTCTCGTTATTTGAAACATAAACCACTATTTGAAAACAATCATCATCTTCTTCCTCCCATCAGCAATTTCGTTAAAAAAAAATCATCAAGAATAAAAACATTACCAAAATTAAAAGAACAAAAATCAGCCGTTAAAAAAAATTAAAAAAAAAAGAAGAAACTAAATGATTACAATAATCCAACAGAATACCAAACTAATGCACGTATCCATGTTATGTACAACACCACCTCTCTAAACCCCAAACGGCTGGCATCATCAATTCCATCTTTCAATTTGGAGAATTTAAAATAAATTTAACGGAAAATAGGAGAAAAGAAAATTTCAGACCATATGAGAGAATTTCATGTAACCTTCGTTGGGACAATGTTTAAGAACAACAAAAATAAATATGAAATGAAACAAAACGTACCTTTGATATCAATTCTTGTGGGCAAGAATTGGGCCAGGTTAGGGATCAGACCCAGAAGATCCAGAGAGGAAATAGGGGTGGGGGCTGAGGCGGCGTCGGGTGGAGGTTGGGGCGGCGTCAGGTGGGGGCTGAGCCGGCGCCGGGCAAGGACAGGGGCGGCGTCGGGCGGGGGCTGGTGCGGCATCGGGTAGGGCTGGGGTGGCGGCTGGGGCGTCGCCGGGTGGGGGTTGGGGCAGCGCCGGTGGGGAGAGAAGAAGAGGTGAACGGAAGGAGAGGTGCAACGGTGAATAGAAAAGAAAAAAAAAAAGAGATACACGTTATTATGTCTAAGGGCTAGATTTGTTGGTGAGATTGAGAACGTGATATTAAGGGAACGGATATTACGTATATTTATATTCAACCTTAAGATACGGTATAATAAGGTAAGGGTATAATTGTGATAATTAATTAATTTTTATTAATAAAAGATGTTTTGAATTTATCTTACAAATAAGAAATAAATTTGGGCTCATTGTAATTGGACTTACGTGACGAGGGTGTTTTGTGAAATAATCCATAAAAAATAAGGGCAAATGGCAAAAATGGACATAACAAGGGATTTAAATGCACATTGATCCACAAAAAAATAGTCTTTCAAATAAACTCATCTCCATGTCTTTAGTCTAAAATACCCTCCATAATATATTTTTTATCAATTCCTTCAATTCTAATCTAACTTTCTTAATATTACACATTGACCCCGGATGTAAACAAATATATCACATTAACTCCCATTTTAATAATTTTTTGAAAAATATCTCTTTTATCATAAAATAATTTTTTTCTAATTTTTTCTCCGGTCAGATTCCGGCATAGACTAGGCGATTCTCCAGCATTGACTCTTTTTTTTTTAACTTTTTTTTATCAGAATTTTTTTTCCGGCCGGTCTCCGGCGTTGACTTTTTTTTTTCTTTTTTTTTTTTTTTTTTTAAATTTTGTTTTTTGTTAGAAAAAAAATATTTTAATTAATGTTACTGTCTTGGCTAGTGGTGAACAAATGGCCCACCCGGCCCGCCCGCGGCCCATGAACACCGGCCCGTCTAGCCCACGGGCTCACCCCACCCGGCCTACTATTTTCACGGGCCGGCCCGCCCGGCCCATGGAGGGAAATCATGAGCTCAGCCCGGCCCTTTAGCCCATTTTTCTGTATTTTGACGGGCCCAACGGGCCC